GAACAGGGTGACAGAAAATATAATCTATGGGACGTGATTCGTGACAGATCCCCCACTCAAGGAACGCCTCTCGGCGTTCCACCAGGTTGCTCGGGGTGCAGGCGATGAAAATCCTGAATGAGACTGTGGTCCAGGATGTGACGGGAGGGAACCCATGACCGCTCTTCTGGTCCGTATCCCCAATCGACGAGGTACTGCAGCCCCCGACCCCTACGTCTAGAACGGAGGAGTTGCCGAACAGTATAGGCGGGAGAGCCGTCAATCAGACGGGCGGGTAGGGAGGAGCAAATAGGGGAGTGGAACTGGGAGGAAATTACTGGTTTAATACATGAAACATGAAATGTGGGGTGAACGCGAAAAGACTTGGGTAATGACAGACGAACAGAAACAGGATTAATAACTTTAGAGATGGGGAAGGGTCCGATGAAACGGGGGGCAAGTTTACGAGATGCAACTTTAAGTGGGAGGTTTTTAGTGGACAGCCATACTCTGTCCCACAGTATAGTCTGGTTGGGGAGTTCTGTGGCGGTCAGCCTTCCTAGTGTAGGCCGCCCTGGATTTTAAAAGAGCCTGTTTAGCCCTCCTCCAGACTCTCTGGCAGCAGAGGGCAGCCATGTGGGCTGAAGGAACAGATGCTTCACGTTCTTGGACAGAAACAATAGGGGGTTGAAAACCAAAAACAACATAAAATGGGGACAAACCAGTGGCTGAGGAAGGGACAGAATTAAGGGCATGTTTGACTCAGGGTAGTGATGAGCTCCATTTCTCTGGATCCTTCTGGCATAAGAGCCTCAGTTTGCCTTCCACCTCTTTTTAGCCCTCTCCGTCTGGCCATCTGACTCAGGGTGGAAGCCAGAGGAGAGACTAATGGAAATACCCAGAAGGTCACAGAACTCCTTCCAGAAGTGGGAGACAAACTGAGGACCCCGATCAGAGACCATGTCCAATGGTAGTCCGTGGAGCCTAAACACCTCTCGAGCCATAATGTGGGCCAAGTCCTTAGAGGAGGGTAACTTGAGCAAAGGGACTAAATGGAACATCTTAGAAAATCGGTCAACGATTGTTAGAATGACCGTGAAATTATTGGATGGTGGGAGACCAGTAATGAAGTCCATACCTATGTGCAACCAGGGGCATGAAGGACAAGGGAGAGGATGAAGTAATCCTGAACAAGGACTTCTGGAGGTCTTGGACTGGGAACACGCCAGACAGGATCGCACATAGGCACGGACGTCCCTGGTCATAGTCTCCCACCAAAACTGAGCTCTGACAATAGACAAAGATTTAGTAAGACCAGGGTGGCAGTATAATAAGGAGTTATGACAAAAATTCAACACCTTCTTGATCATGTTAGCTGGTACAAAAAGACAGTTCTGAGGGCAGTTGGCCGGGGGAGGGCGTGTCCGGCTGAAGTTTCTCAGGTCCAGCTCTAACTGAGTGATGGCCAGGCGATCACTCTCAGGAAGGATAAAGTTCTCCTCCTGAGCTGAGGGGGAATTATCCTCCTCCAAAACACGTGACAAGGCATCAGGCTTGGCATTTTTCTCACCGGGGATGGTAAGATAGGGTGAAATTAAAACGAGAAAAGAATAGTGCCCACCTGGCCTGGCGAGGATTAAGGCGACGAGCAGATCTGAGGTATTCCAGGTTCTTGTGATCCGTCCACACCTGTAACTGGAACTTGGAGCCCTCCAACCAGTGACGCCACTCCTCTAGGGCGAGTTTGACAGCAAGGAGCTCCCTATCTCCAACATCATAGTTGCGCTCAGCCAAGGAGAGGCACCGGGAGAAAAAGGCACAAGGGTGAAGACACCCCTCCTGGCCGCGCTGACTCAGAATGGCCCCCACCCCAGTACTGGAGGCATCAACCTCCACCATAAAAGTTTTGTCGGGGTTGGGAGCCTGGAGAATGGGAGCAGAAACAAACAAGTTCTTTAACTCATTAAAAGCGGTCTCTGCTGTGGTGGACCAGAGAAAGCGGCACTTAGTAGAGGTGAGCTCGTGAAGTGGCTTGGCCTTATGGCTGTAGCCTTTAATGAAGCGTCTGTAAAAATTGGCGAACCCCAGGAAACACTGAAGCTGTTTGCGGTCCTTAGGGGTGGGCCAATTTACCACAGCAGAGACCTTGCTGGAGTCCATCCCCATTTTGTTAGGAGACACAATAAACCTCAAAAAGGAAGTGGTCGACACATGAAACTCACACTTTTCAGCTTTTACAAAGAGACCATTCTGGAGGAGCCTGGTAAGAACATATCTGACATGTTTGCGATGAGAATCTAGGTCCTTAGAAAAAATGAGTATGTTGTCGAGATAAACAAAAACAAACTTGTTTACCATGTCCCTCAAAATGTCATTTACTAAGGTTTGGAAGACAGCCGGTGCGTTGGTTAACCCAAAAGGCATAACCAAGTATTCATAATGACCTGTCGGGGTATTAAAGGCTGTCTTCCACTCATCACCTTCACGGATACAGACCAAATGATAAGCATTGCAGAGGTCAAGTTTAGTGAAAATGTTGGCTCCCTGAAGAGAATCGAAGGCAGAAGACATGAGGGGTAGTGGATACTTGTTTTTTATAGTAATTTTATTGAGTCCTCTAAAGTCATTGCATGGACGAAGTGAGCCATCTTT